TAGATCTAAGAGAGAGCAGCCGAATCCGCAGGCACGATACATTGAGTGAGTAGCAAAATTACGATGATGACGATGGTGATGGTGATGATGGTGATAATGATGATGGTGATGATGACGATGGTGATGATGACAATAAAGAAGAAGATTATGAAGAAGATGATGACGATGACGATAAGGATAATGGTGACGATCACGGTGACAATAACCAAGCCATGAACGATAATGACGATGACAATAATGATGCGGACTACGAGGACACTACAGCGAAAATGGCAACAGTGGGGACGACGGCGGCCACAGGGGTGACCACGGTCACAGCGACATCAGCGTAAGTAAATAAGCTGTTGATAATGATATCAGTGAAGATGACGACTATACGATGAAGGTGATTGTAGTACACTGAATCTTCTATTTAGATTCCGATTTAGATTAATTTTATTTGACACATACATACATACATACATACACACATACACCCATACATACATACATACATACATACATGCACACACACACACCTATATACACACATACACCCCTAAATACATACATACATGCATACATGATATGTGTCTACCTAATGTTGTCATTTAAACAATACAATCAGATACATGCAGTGCATATCAATAAAAATCAAAGAACGTTGTTTTCGTTGAATAAAATCACATTTTTCTTTGTCATTATCCTAGATGCTGAACATAGTAAGCAAAGAGGTCTTGTAGGAAAAGAGTAGAACGTAAGTACGAAATGTTGAGAAATATAACGATATACCAATGCTCTGTAGGCCTACGTCATTTAATATAAGTAAATTAATATAGCATTATTCTCTTTATTTATTGGTGTTCTTAAACTATTATGGTAAACAACTACTTACGTTATGTTTCAAATAAATTAGCCGATTTTAACTAAGTGATAAGTTTCGGTGACAAATAAAATGCTGACACACTTCAATATTGTTTACAGCACCAGTCATCAATCATCTGATTACAATCCCCTAATCAGGTTTGGTGACGGCATCATGAATGGTGGTCCTTATTATTAAACAGTGTATAATCAAGTGACTGCTTTCAACTTTGTATATCAAAAATCGAATTGAAGCTTATTATTCGTTCTTCTGTTTCCCAAAAATTACTTTTTCCAGCGCCATGAAAGGACCTTCGACAAGAAGCGACAACACGAAGGCACATGCGTAGGTCAACGCCAGGACACTAATATAGAATACAGACTGAAACACAAAAATATCATATACAAATGTGAAATGCTTCAGGATGTCAAATTATCTCACCATTTTGACATTATGCGTACACGACTACAAGAGGAGTAGTCTGAATACAGTATTCGTCCGAATAAATATTTGTGTTTCTAAATAATTTATGTATCTGAGTATTCATTCCGTTACACCGGATTATATTTTATATATACTTCAAAACACACGTAGATGCATCTTCTTTATATATGCATTATATTCAAATAAAAAATACAACTAAAACACGTATACCGTATTTATTCGAATAAACGCCCTGGGGTGTGTATTGTTGAGAAGTGTTTTTGAGGGGCGTTTATTCGAGGGGTTCAAATAAACGCGCCTTGATTTTATTGTAAATGTGGAAATACAGCTCATAATTATCTTTAAAATGTATTTTTGCTTGATCATGAAAATTTATTAACTCATCCAGGTTAAAAAATGTATAGCTTTACTGGAGTACAACATTCAATAGAATGTGTTGAGAATGATGTTGCTTCCATTAGATTTGTTTACAGTCATGGGGAGGGGTGTGAGGAGATGGTGCATTCAAAATTAGGGTCTGGGGGTGTTTATTCCAGGAGGCTTTTATTAGAAGGCAGGTGCCGATTGGAATAAATAAGGTATATATCAAAATTCAATAAAAAAAAAATTAAAGTATTAATTTCAGGCCCGTAGCCAGGG